CTTATCCACGATAATAGAAGGTCACTAATTCCAAATGATTGAAGCTTAGGAATTAACCGATTATGAGGCACTTTATCAAATGCTTTTTTGAAGTCAAAAAATAGAGCAGTTACGATAATACCTTCATCTCGTCTGCAGGTGATCTCCTCAAAATAATCCAGTAAGCAAGTACTACATGAACGACCTTTTAAGAAACCATACTGCATAGGAGAAAGTAGCTGATGCGCAGCCATTTAGTCATTGATTTCTTGCACAACCAGCTTCTCCATGATAAGAGAGACCACAGGTGTAATGTTTGTGGGATGATAGTTCTGAATTTCTGACGTCGGCTCAGATTTATGCGTGGGAGATATGTATCACAGCTTCCAGCGGTCAGGGTAGCATGCCTCAGTAAGGGATATTGAGAATAGCTTCATGAGGATCAATGGTATGTCCTCACCGCCCCTCTTAAGGAGAACAGACAGGACCCCATCGGGTCCGGCAGAATATGAGTCCTTTAGTGAAGCAACTGCATCACCTACCTTTCTCTGTGTAAAGGAAACATTACTTAGTGAGCGATATGGTGGAATGGGCAGTTGTATGTTTGGTGCACTGTCTTCGTGCGTGAAGCAGCTCGCATAATGTTTACTAAACAGCTCACAAATCTTGCCTCAGTCATCATGAAGAATGTCCCCATCAATGACCAGACTACTGGGAATAACTCTAGACAAGTTTGCAAGGGATTTTAGAATTCTCACTAATGATTGAGAATTGTCTGTTCGTGCGTTGCAGCTAGTTTCTTGCTTGATTGCTTTCAGTAACTTATTTGATTTGAAGTTCTCAGGAGCAATTTTTAATGAGACAAGGGATGAAAAGTCATTAGATCGATAGAAATGTCTGGCATGTCTGCGCATGCTGATACGTACGTTTTCAGAGAAGAAATTCACTTTCGGCTTTCTAATTAATACTGATACCTCCGGAACACTATGATCGTGAATTACATTCATGGAACTGTAGAAGTTTCTGGTTGTTAACTGCCTGGTTAGAATAAGTTTTTTCGTGAGTGAAAGCAGTTTTTGATACAGGCCAGGAAGGTTTCTTGAGGTTTTTCGTTTTCTAATTCATTTGCCGTTTGTCTTTTCAAGTTCATCTACAGTCTGTGCAAAAATGGTCTGTGAAAATACTTGTAATAACTTGGGGTGCCACTTCACAGTAGCCTCTATAATGCAGTGTTCCCAGTGTAGGAGTTGATTCCATGATGGTTGCACAAGCTATACGCTCTTAGAATATAGAAGGTATAGTAATCCGATGAGTGTCTGGCTTCGCATGTCGTACTACTCAGATATTCACAAGCTGGTTGTGTAGTCGAAAAAGTCTCTGAATACGATCACAAACAAGCTGGCACCTAAAGGGAAAGTTGGTAAGTGTGATGGCGATAATGAGTACGAAGCCGTGCAGAATTTTAAGAAGGTTCTATGATAAACTGAAAGTCAGGCACCTAGACTACCCATGAGGTTTGCTGACAACGAATTGGAAAACGTTACACAAGGCGGGGTGCAACGAGCATCCCCAGGTTCTCGCATCTCCAGGTCTGGCAGACCCTGTTTGAGAACTACCAACCATAGAACTACGTCGTCTGCCGATGGAAGAGACAAGAGGGGAGCAACTTCATGACCACTGTGCATTGAGGGGGATGAAAACCCGTTTGGAAACCATGAGTGAGGTCACTGAACTAGGTCTTGGTCCGCTCCCAGTACCCGACTCTGAGAAATAGCAAGCAGTTATGCGCAGACTGTGTGCCCAGGGGCCGGTAGTGGTCCTATAACTAGCTGTCGGGACGCCGCAGGGTGAAGATCGAAAGATCTACGATCTTCCACAGATTGGGGGAAAGTAGAGAGCCAGAACCCCGTAGCCGCTTTGAACATGACCTCGGCAGGTTGCGGGGTTTGGCAAGCAAACGTTTGCAGGAGGACATACTGGGGATTACTCCACTCAAGACATATAGGGAAGCTAAAAATAGAGCCCCTGCCGCACCAGGTTTGGTCACTTAAAGTCACGTACAAACCAACAGATGCCATACTGATCGAATCAAGAAACTAGAAGCAGGCGAGAAAGATCTGAAGGTGCTGGGTTTTCGTGTGGCGGAGTTCCGGCAAAAGCGATCCCGAGGCCTCTGCGGACAGGACGAAAACTTATCTGAGTGGTTTTACCGTCTTGCACATAAACACACACAGTCTCCTAAACATGTGTACTGACCTTAGTAATGTAACAAACACAGAAAGCCTTGACATACTTACCATCTCAGAAACCTGGCTCTCTTCTGAAATCAATGACGGCGAAGCACATTTACAAGGATTCTTTCCTTCATGAAGTGATAGGATAGCGTGGAGAGGTTATGGTGTCATCCTTTACGTTAGGAAAACCTTAACCGTAAAAGCCATAGAGTCGGTTTTACATGACAGTGGGATGTGTGAAATACTGCTCTGCGACAAAAATTCAAGGTGCAAAACATTGACATACTCGTAGTTTATCGGAGCCCCCAAAGTGAGACAGCAGACCTCCTCCTGAATATGCTGACTCTCTGGACACACAACTGCCAGTGCCTAGTTGTAGGAGACTTCAACGCACTACCAGTTACTGGGATCATAGGTCAGTGGTGACATCAACTTCTTAGTCCCTCATAGAGCACACCACAGCAGCAACTGGATACAACCATCAGTATGCTTCATGAGTTCTAGACTTAGTATTCTCATACGGACGGCGGATGCTTCATTCAGCGCCTTGAGCCCCTTGGTAAAATGAATTGTGTTCCAAGATGAATTGCTGCCGTCTTCCGGTCTCCAGTGTGGTTTGGAACACGTCTTGCCCAGGTTGCACCACAACATCCAATCAGGCTATTTTATTACATAAATCATAGGGATAAGAGACGTATCGTGGTATACCCACCCTGACCAAAAGGACGGAAGCTGACTCTGACGGAAGACGACAAAGAAGTAGAAACTATGGACAAATATTTTGATGACGCCTTCCCGCAGGGGGCTTCTGCGGATGGTAATTCTATGGTGAAAGCACTGACGTCTAACAGAAAAAACTCTGTGTGTATCGATCTCAGTGATGTAGATTGGACACTAAGTACTATCGATGTAGAAAAATCAACGGAACCGGATCGGCAGCATCCGAAGCTGCTCAGACAGCTTACTTTCTGTATACCCAGGCCATTGACTACTATAATAAGGCTGTCCTTCGGTAAAGGCACACTGCCCCTCGATTGGAAGGGGGCCACAGTAACACCTACTTACAGGGCAGGTTCTAATTAGCTCCTGTCAGATTATAGACCGTGAGTTATACTAGTACTGTGGTGAAAATACCAGAAACAGTGGTCGAGAAAGCTGTTACAACTCACCCAGAGGGCAGTCTGACAGGTAATTAGGGATGAAAAGGGTATAAGTGCACTTCAGACAGACCTAAAAAGCTTGTTTACCCAGTCAGGAAAGTGTCTGTTGCCCATCGACCCAGCTAAGGTATGAGTATACGCGTCGTGCGCATGGATGCCAAATCTATGATGTTGGTGGGGCTCACGTACCCTCACTGCCAACCCACAATGACCTGGGAGTCACAGCGAGTTGTGACTTGGAGGCCACGGCACAATGTCGACTAGTAACAGCCCGGTGTTTAGGACACTGGCCATTAAGCAGAACGTTTACCAGAATAAGCGGTGGTGTTCACCACCTTGTACACATCCTTAGTTAGGTCTGCACTAGAAAACTGTTTTTGGGTGGCAGACTGCTATCTGAAAGGTGACTAAGACCTTCAGAAGGGAGTTCAGAGAGCAGCCACTTGTATGATCCCCGCGATGGTTGGCGTGACCAACGAATTAAGGATAGACTCAAAGGGATGGACCTCTTCCCTCTATCCTATTGCAGTTAGAGAGGAGATCTAATCATGCTATGCAGAATTCTAAGAAATGACTCCGGACCTGGTCTGCCTTCTGTTTTCTCTCCAACTAGGTCATGAAACCTCAGGGGTCATGGTAGGAGGATACAGAAGGAAAGAACGAACATTGTTTCCCCAGAATACTGGTTCTCAAGTTCAGCTGTCGACTTCTGGAACCAACTCCCAGTAGTGGTGTCCTCATCAGTTGACTCGTTAAAAAGAAGACTGGAAAAGCACAGAAATGTACCTAAAGAAGATTAGTATAGGCTCGCATCCTTCCGTCCTCCAACAAAAATCTGAGTCTAGTGCCTCCAGCAGCACTGTCGCCCTTCGAAACCAAACAATTTACTCAACAAAAGCTTCAAATAGACAGTCACTTCTTCCAAAGCCACAAGTGGGTAGGCTAAAAAGTCTACCAAAATGGTTGAAATAGTTTTTAAAAGAATAGAAACAGCCTCCGCTCAACTGTCTTACGCGTCTAGAATCCGTGAACCACTACTTCTTGTGGTTGGTAACTTGTGTAAATTTGAAGAGAGTCAAAAGTGGTGAGTACCGAATAAATATAGTTGAAAAAAAGAAGCAAGCCTCAAGACCTAGAAGTGAGAGCTTAAAAACTACCTTTCATCTACTCGCACTGTTGATGTTCAAACTATGTCCAATTTGTTTGTATTGTTGTCATTGAAGGTCACTATGAGATTGGAAAGTTCGCGAACAGCTTGTGATGGGGAAGGATTATTATAAAATCTTAGGGCTATCCAAAGGTGCAAGCGATGATGAGTTAAAGAAGGCTTACAGAAAGCAAGCACTCAAATATCACCCGGATAAGAATAAGTCTCCAAACGCTGAGGAGAAGTTCAAGGAGATTGCGGAAGCATATGATGTAAGCGAATTCACTGCATATATTCTGGCTAAAAGGTTTTATCTGATCCTAAGAAGAAGGAAATATATGACAAGTATGGCGAGGAAGGCCTAAAGCAAGGACCTGCAACAAGTGATGGTGGCCGAAATTCACATACACTTTTCATGGTGACCCTCGAGAGACATTCAGAATGTTTTTCGGGACAGATGATCCTTTTTCTGGTACTTTTATGTCATCTGGAGCTAGGAATGCTGGGGAGCCTATGAATATTGACGATTTCTTTTCTGGGACACAGTTTGGAGTAAGTTGTTTCGAGTTGCCTATACTAGTTCAAATTTGGCGTCATTGGTTTTGGTTATGACAGGTTCATTTAACTTAAGACAGACCAAGAATCACTGTACATTCGTCTCTTTTAGTAGTTACCAGTTTTACTGCAGGGAAAGGATTTGCATATATCGATGCGAAGAATTCAGGCTATGGCGGTATGAGGATGCTTCTAAATGAATGCGCATATAATATCTAGTCGCTAACCGTACAAGTGGTTGCTCCTTTATCAACCTGCAATTCGGAGTCATACGACTGACCCATGACACCCAGTTGCTGGTGGTTTTGGGTCTTGAGTTTCAGCAGTTCATTGCCATTATTAGAGTAGTTAGTGACTCTGGTCGGTGTAAGCTTATGATAGACATAAAAGACAATGGCCACGCAACCATCAGCCAAATGGCCTTGAGTGCCTAATTCAGCTTTGGACATTGAAAGACAGTACTACAACTGCAAGTCTACTTTCTTCACTTGGGATTCCATTCAAATGTTACTTGGCCGTATTGTGCGAACAAAAGACTACTGTTCCTGCAGTGGAGCTCCGGCCTTTTTTCTCTGTCGGAAAAAACTTTAGGCAATGAAAGTTGCCGAGAATGAAGGAGATTTCCCAGTGAGTCTTAAAGTCGTGATTAACTCATGTTAAGACCACAAACCTTTCCTGATGCACTTTTTTACATAAGATTGATCTTTAGTTTTGTCGAATTAATTGCTAGTATTCCTGCTAATGCAGTCGGAGTCTTTTGCGAGCTTAGGGACATCATTCTGATCAGTTGGTGGGTTTTAAGTCGAGGATATGAATCAGTTGGAGACTTTCGACCACTTGTCTTCGTGGTGTTGCTCGCACGTAGTGGAAACACCGTATGAGCAAGTCAGGCGAGAGGTACTAAGCAAAACAGGCAAGTCGATTAATAAGCTTGTGAACCTTCATTGATTGAGATGTTTTGGACATGTACTGCTAATGCCAAGCCACCGCCTATTTCGACCTGCCATACTGGGGAAAGTTTGATTAGGTTGGAAGACGGTTCTGGGTGGCTAGACCAAGACATCGCACCAGTCGATGAAGTCTTGCTGTTGGTCAGTGTCGGGTGGAGATGTATACTAGATGTTTGGGGTCCTGGTGACGAAGAGTGGTTGAGAACTCTTGGTGACTGAAGATCGGTCACAATGGCGCAGATGTATTCACTCACTGAGTATTTTCACTAACTGTTATCTTCAAATTGGTTGTCCTCACAAATTTGTCTACCTTGATATCACTATTATTCTGTCCACTTGTTCTTTTTATACTATTAGGAAGTGTGACAAGTTGAACCGATGCAATTGTGTGCGCGATTCTACGTTGATTCTGTTAGTCTGTAACGGCGCTGCACAGTAGGTTGACGATATTATTTTCGGGCTTTCCAGTCATCTTAATCGTTTTAGTTTTGCATCCTCAGTTTATGTGCATTTATCCCCTTGTTCTTCACATTACTCTTGCATTTGACCACTACCTCTGTTTCGACGCTTCTTCGGATTTAAGGCTGGCAGTCATCAAGGTGTCAAAACATAATGAATATGTTTAGCACTGTCGACCTATCCAGTGTACAAAATCCGTGAGATATTTTAGCACCTGTCAAACACAGCATGCGTTGCATTACCTCTCACACAGCAATCAACATAAACCCTGATGCGAACTTGCATCTGTTCTAGTTGCCACAGTTCCCATTACTATGTATATAGGAAGTGCCTGAAAGGTGGGTCGTTTCAGTCAACAAATGATTAAGGCGAAACAATAATTTGATAAAGGCAAAAAGGTATTAAGAATTTTGCAATAATAAGTGGCTTTTACAGCTGTTACTAAAAGACTCAGTCCCTTGATTACGTTTGTTTTAGAAACGTAACAGACTAGCAACACAGCACTGTAGACTGTTTCGATGTCCTATGCTTATAAAGTGTGCAATCAGCAGAAGGTCGGAAGTGTGAAATAGAAGACAGTGAATGGAGGTGAATTGTTATAGAAATACAGTACCTAGGGGGTTTAAAAATCAATTCCAGCTTTTTACTACAATATACAAAACCGTGAGGTGACTAGTTAGCAATACTTTTTGGGAAAAATTGTACATGCACAGCCTGAGTCAAATGTTTTTAATTACAGATGTGAAACAAACGGTTTTGAGTAACTTATCAGCTCTCAGCTGACTTGCAAAATACGATGTTGACATTGAACCACGCGCACTTTCTACATTTACGGTGTTTATGGGAGTTTCAGTGACTAGGTATTCAGATACCTAAACTGTTAAAAAAAGAAATCTGTATGTGGTAGTATGTTCCCAGTAAGTCGTAAGTTAATTCTTATACCGTTTTATACCTTTTTTATGTCCCTACAGTCTGATAGGTTGTTCAAGGTCATCATCTACGGCTGCTATCTTTTTAGCCTTATCCTCGTTCGCTGAGTTGCTTACACAGTTCACCTGTTCTCTGCACAGCTAGGTAGGAGATGTTTTTACATTGTCACATTTATCTCTTTACCGTTATGTTTCTTGATGTACGCCGGGAATTGTTACACATTCTAAATTCTTTGGATTGCACTGTCGTAATACTGCGTCTTTTTGACTGATTGGTAAGTTTATATTATTACAGGGTTTTAGCAGTTCGAAGACTGCCATTTTACAGAGACACCACTAGTGGCACTCATGAGAAACAACCGATGCCTTGGTTGTACAGTGGATATTTTTCACGTCTTTATCATCTCTGCCTATGCTCCAACAGACTGCATCTCAGATGTAATCAAGTATGAATTCTATCAACTGAGTGACCTCAACCAAGTGCACTCGACACTGCTAGCTGGGGACTGGAATACGTAAGTCAGGCGTCTAGGCTCAGAGGATAGTCATTTAGGTGACCAGTGACTAGTTGGCCGCAGTTCGGATAATGGGGATCGTTTCCTGCAGCTTCGGTCAGATCACAGCCTGTTTCCAGCCAGCACGAACTTCCGGCACAGCGATCCCCTTTGTGCTACTTGGCGTCATCCCTCTGCCACTCAAGCCTAGACTAGATTAGATCATATTGCAGTCAGCTACCAACGGTGTGGGTGCCAGTGCCTGGTTTTTGATCATGCTTTAGTGTATGCTAAGCTGTTCTTGGGTTTTGGTGATCATCAAAATCGTCGTCCTAAACAGGTCGATGCAAGCAAATTAGTTGCAAGTAACACCAGCTAAATACTGATCCTCCTAAAAGTGTAGATGAGCGCTGACTGCACCTCCAAGTCGCCATGAAATTGGTCAGTGAAGCTGCTTGTGGTTTGGAAAGACGTCCTGCTAATAAACATGGGGTCTCTGCGAGCTCGCTGCAACTTCTTGACGCCTGTCAGGTATTTCTGACGAATGGCAAGTACAATGATTTGCCCGAAAGATTACACAACGCTTATTCAAGAAACGCGAGGTTTGGTGGTCAGAACGCACGAATGAAATGAAAGCAGTAGCTGCATCGGGCAATGGTCGAAAGCTGTTCCAGCTCATCCGAGCCACTGCTAGCGAAAAGCCTCGTGTCAGTGAGACAGCCTGTGAGGTGGGTGATACGCCTACAAATAATCTTCAGACACCTAGAACACTAGGCGCAGCACTTCGAAAGCAGTTTAGCTGGCCTACTGCTCCAGCATCTTCAGTTTCACTGTGTCGTCCTCCATGATCAGTCAATAACTGACCCACCTAACGAGGCGGAAGTCCATAAGGAACTCCAAGTTCTGAAACCCCCAGGGCACTCAGCCGGCTCTTTTTAAGGATAGGAGAACGATTGTTCAGGGAACTGACTAGATCGTCTGAAAAGATATGACAGACTGAAAACATTCCATCACTGTAGAATGAGGTCGTCATTATGCCCATTTTTAAAAAGGGTCTACGCAATGTATGTGAGTCATCGGGGTATTAGTCTGTTACCAGTCGCTTTAAAAATTTCGGCTACTATCATGCTTCACAGACTGCAAAACGCGTGAGGAAACGGTTCGCGAGGAGAGCGTTAGGTTTCATTCAGGGCATGGATGGATTGGTTATGTGTTTACCTTCCGCCAGATGCTTGGACGTTGCCAGACGTTTTGCAGCCCGGTAATCGTTCTGTTTCTTAACATTTGGGCTGCCTTCAGTTCGTTTAACAGAGCTGTACTCTGTAATTGTCTCTTAGGGGGCATGCCTAAGAGATTTATTAACATCTTGAAACCGCTACATAATAACACTTCAGATAGAAGGGAATCAAATACGATCCCCTCCGACTGGTCTAAGTCACTGATCATCCCAGTCTTCAAGAAAGGCGAGAAGTCCTCTTGTGATAACCACAGAGGAATCAGCCTGACAAACATAGTGTCTAAGATCCTAAGTTCTATAATTCTCCGACGCCTGAGTGGAGCTCGGGAACAGCAAGCCCGAGAAAACCAGGCAGGCTTTAGACCTGGCCGTGGATGTATCGACCAAATATTCACACTGCGCCAGGTCCTGGAACATAGGCATGCTTACAGACGCCCGACAATAGCTGTATTTCTCGACCTGAAGGCGGCATTTGACTCCGTTGATCGAGAAGTCTTATGGCAGTGTCTGTCACTGAAAGGCGTGCCTAGTAAGTACATCACCTTATTGAAAGCTCTCTACTCGAACACTTGTGGGCATGTTAGAGCCTATGGTGAGTTGTCCAGGGAGCTATACTCATCAAGTGGTGTCCGTCAAGGATGCCCACTATCCCCATTCTTATTTAATTTTATCATAGATATTCTTATGGAGGTTTCCCTCTCGTCACCTAATTACAAAGACGTTGACCGGACCACAGGTGAATTTTCCTTAGATCTAGAATATGCAGATGACATAGTCCTGTTAGGTGAAGACGCTGACAAGATGCAGAGTCTTCTGAACACTTTGAGTGGGAATTTGAGAATGTTTGGGATGCGATTTTCACCACCCAAATGCAAATTTTTGCTCCAGGACTGGTCTTCAGCGGTACCGCGGTTAACAATAGAGAGTGAAGTGGTTGAGTGTGTTGACCACTTCACTTACCTGGGAAGTAGGATCAACTCCGGTGGGTTAGTTGCCGATGAGATTTCTGCACGGATACAAAAGGCTCGATTGGCTTTTGCCAATTTGCGCCACCTATGGCGCCGCCGTGATATTCGTTTGTCTATTAAGGGTCGCGTGTACTGCACAGCAGTCCGCTCTGTTCTACTGTATGGCTGTGAAACATGGCCATTGAAAGTGGAAGACATGAGAAGGTTACAGGTATTTGACCACCGTTGCCTTCGTAGTATAGGACGTATTCCGTGGTGTCACCATGTGAGTAATGCAGAAGTTAGGTGTAGAGTTTTAGGGAGAAGAGGTAAGTCAGTCGACGAGGTTGTGAACCTTCATCGACTGAGATGGTTGGGACACGTACTACGTATGCCTAGTCACCGATTGCCTCGTCACACAATGTTGGCTGAGGTGGGTTCAGGCTGGAAAAAGGCCCGAGGTGGCCAGACTAAAACATGGCACCAATGTATGAAGTCTCTGACTGTTGGTTTAAGCCATGTAGGACGATGCAGACTAGGTGGTTGGGGTCCACGGGACAAGAGGAACCAGTGGTTGGAGACCCTAGGTGATATGGCTCAGAACCGAAGTCAGTGGCGCAGATGTATACACACATTATCCTCATCTTAACAACGCTATACCGAATCTCACTATTTTGTCACTCCTCTTTCCTTTCTTCTCATACTTTATATTTCTTTTGACTGCATTCACTTATCTTCATCCTTCACCTCACTACCTTTTTACTTGATGTGCTGATATGAGGTGTGGCAACTCGGACCGTTACGCAGTAATGCCTGGTCCTATGTTGATAATGATGATGATGATGATGATAGAAGGTATGCAACCACCTGCCTCTATTGTTCCAAACCAGCAGTGGAGGTTAGGAGGTGTTGCCCGATTCCCCCATTCCTCTTTAACGTTTTCATCGATGGCATTCTTGAGGCTGCTGTGAACGAGGTGCGTGATGATGGTGAACGGCTATTCGACTGTAAATGTGCAGACGATATTGTCTTGCTATGCGATACCATACATGCTACTCAAATCACACTTAGTCAGTTGGTGTCCGTAAGCATAGCGCGTGCTTTGCACCATTAAAGTGCAAAGTACTTTTGCAAGATTGTCAGGAGTCTGTGCTCACCTTCGGTAGTGGGCCGTTGTAAATAGTCGAAAAGTTCATGTACCCCAGCAGTTGTGTGAGTGGTAGTGGAGGTGTGTGATAAATTTTCTAACCGCATATCAAAAGCCACAGCGGTATACGCCAATCTGGGCCACCTTTGGTGTTATCGCGTCGTTAGTCTGACCTTAAAATTTTGTGTTTACAACGCTTCGGTGCTAGCAGTTCTGCTCTACGCCTATAAACCTGACCCTTCCGAACTGAGAATACGCGACGACTCTATGTATTCAACCATCGTTGTTTCCATTGGATTGCTCATATCCAGTGCCAACACCATGTTAGTAATTCTGAGGTACGACAGTGTGTTTGGGCATCATGTTGAGATATTCAACAAGTGAAGTCATCTGTAAACAGCCTCGGTGGTTTTGGCATGTGTTACGCATGTCGTCCCAACGGCTTCCATACCGTTCATTGTTTGCTAGCCCTGGGATTGGCACCGTGAGATGAAGGATATTTGTATCGAGTTAGTATCTGTTGCTGCATCACGATCCCCTGAGTGGGGTCTGAGAGATCACACAACTCGTTGGCTTGAGACGTTATCAGATATGGCTCAGAATTGAAACCGGTGGTGATCAGCTGTAGCTTCCTTCTATCTTCTGCTATTGAAAAGTAATAAGCGTCTTTGGATGTACTTTACTAGACTTCCCTTTCAGTCATTCTTTTTTTATTGTTTTTCTTTTGATCCACTTCCCTTCACTTTATGTCACCAAAATAGTGTTATATTATTTTGTACGGTGCATTTCTTGGTGTTGTGTTCTAATGTAATGGTAAATATCTTCCACAGGTATTGTTTTGATCAGTCAGTCCTATTTACTGTATAACTTTGCTGATCTTGTTTTTTTAAAGGTATGACTGCAACCCAAGTTTCCTACCACTATGTAATTTAAATTATTATCGTGGTGTTATAGTTTTGGTTCAGAAATCTAATTACCGACGCTTCGCCGAAGATACCTTTCACTTTGCATCATATCACATTTGTTTACAGAGAAACATGAACGTGTCTTATATGATGATAATCAAATACTTTCAAATCAATTCGTGGTTAGGACATCCTTGTGTTGTCATGCAAGTAAAGTGAAGAATTATCTACTTTTTGGAAGGGATTTTTCTTTGTCTGTTTATCGTCACTCAAAATTAGATTACCTGAAAAGTCACAACTATTCACACGTAATTCCTTTTTTTTATCAAATGTAAAAATTGACTTAAGTTTCGTTATACAATGCCACTAAGTATTTTAATTGTGTAAGCTTTTAGCTATGGAAGTTAAAACCTTCGGTTACTATAAATAGATTGTAAAATGGGAGCAGTGTTGTGTTCCTCGAAAACCTTTCTCATGTCTTCAGTCTTTCAAGTGAAATACAGTCTAATTTATTGTTATTTTCCTGTTTCTTTGTTAGAATTTCTTTGAAGTTGGAAACATGCATTCATCTGCTACCCGAAAACCTCAGCAGGATATCCCGATATATCACGACTTATCAGTTTCGCTGCAGGACGTTCTTCATGGGACGACAAAGAAAATACGTATCACTAGAGCTCGTTTGAATCCTGACAGGCAGACTACACGTCAGGAGGAGAAAACGGTTGAAATTGAAGTTAAAAAGGGGTGGAAAGCTGGTACCAAAATTACATTCCCCCGTGAGGGGGATGAAAGTATTAGCATCTCTATCACCGCCTTCATCTGAAAAACTGAAAGAAATCGGTCAACATCTAGTCGTTGTCACTAAGTCTGGCTCCTGTTGCACTTTTGAACTGACTAATAAAGGGCTGGTATCGGCTGGGTTGACCATTAAAATACATCAATTCTATCCTTGGCGGGGCGATGTTGTTCGTAATCGGAGCCAAAACAATTTCTCAAGTTCGATGTGAAGTTACTTTGTGTGTCACTGGCTTCAGGTGTCCGTACAGCATTCCCAACTGCAGAATAGCTGAATTCATCTCCTCAAATTCTGACACCCTGAGACGGCACAACCTCTGATCCGCATTTCCTTTCCAGCCTTTTCTCATCTGACAAACTTTTGGGTATCTTCTAATATATATAATTTTGCTTACTATATTAACGGTGCAAACTAGCACTCACTTTATCTTCAACGCCATCATACAAAGTGTTAGAAAACCCCAATTTATCATCCATACGCAAAATTTTTCTGATATCTTGATGTGTTATTATGAACTGCTTCAGAAAGTTGGTCTTGCCACCGATAGATATTGTAAAGGAACAGAATATCCCAAATATTCAAAACTGAGATCCGAAAGAGAATGATGCGAACGTCAGCCAAAGAAGTAGAGCCGAAATCAGGAGCTTATGTTACGATAAGATCACTGGTTAATGTGTAACAAAGATAGGAATGTATTACAAGTAAATTCTTAATGTGAAGTTCACACACAGTGACAACTTTTTATTGCAGGAATATTCTGGGCAAAACTGCTGCCCATAATCACACTCACAGTCGGAATATTTCAGCGGTATTTACTCAGTAACGACCAGTTGTTGATAAGTTTTCGTCTAGCCTGTAGATAAGTACTTTGTTACAGGGGCGCACTGAGCAGTATGAGTTTGATGGTGGCCACGAGAATCCGGAAAAGAAAAAAGGAACGGAAGAAAGGTGAACCGGCGACTCAGCAAGTACGTGGGATGCACTTACATTTAATAAATAAAGATAACTAACAAACAGTAGAGCTGGACAACGAAGAGGTGAGGCAATCTAGAAATTGAAACTCTAAGGAAAATGAGTAAGATTTCAAGTGCGTTACGACTCCACATATTACCAAAATAAAAACATCATTGCATGTAAGCTTTCCAATGAAAAGTTACTCATAATATATTACCTCGTCCCTATATTGCACAAACGTTTCATTGAGGATAAGAATCTCCGGAGTCCCCAAACCCAAAGCGAAACCAAGGAAATCCAAAACACTTATTTGACAAGCGAAGAATGTACATTCATCTGTGGATCAATTCCGTTAAGAACTGCCCTTTACGATAAAATATATGCGCAAAGTTTGGTCACAAGTCTTCAGTTTCTGGCCGAAATACAGTGGTGGCACCAGTCAAAAGAAGGACTTCACCATGGCTATATAAGCAAACTGAATTAAGTCAGACAAAAGGAATGGTCAATGTTTTTGAATATATACCGCAAGAATAAAAGTGAAAACACATGCAACAGTTTCAGAACAGAGCCCTGGACTAACTAACCGGTGATATTGCCCGGAAGGGAAAAGGTGGGTCCCTGTTGACGATTTGGATCCAGTTCACAAGAAATGGGCAGATCCATCCATGCAACTCACCAGTTACCTCAACTGAGTTCAGTTTAAGGAGGAGTAATGGGTGATTCTTTTTTCAAAAGCTTTGTTGAAATCGTAGTAAAGCAAAGCGACCACTTTGCCACCATCTCTACTGATAATTGCATGATCGAAGAATTCTAAGTGGCACATGAGGCAGGATTTCTCAGACAGAAAGTCATGCCGCGAAAAGCTCGGACGTTTATCTTCTGAAATATGAGAGAAGACCTCAGTTCCCACTACTCTCGTCATTATGTGTGAAAGAACAGATGTTATGTTGATGAAGCAGTTGTTTTCCGGGCTGAGTCTATAACCTTTCTTAAAGCATAGGATAATATGACTGGCCTTCATGAAATTAGAAAGGTATCAGAACTTTGGGATAGGTTTTAGATTTTAGCAAGTAATATAAGGAAGTCTGCGCTGCTATTTTTTGGTGAAAATACCAGTGTCTCAGTCCAAAGTGCCATTCTATTTAATGCTAAGTTACCAATACCAATAGCCTATTTACAAAACCTTATTCTACGGAAGAACTTCATTGATCAAAAACTGTTTTCTCAGTAGCAGATACATTGTGGTAGACTGATTTCTTTCGCCCTGTTTTAACCAGTGTTCGTGAGACTTTGAAGGCTGATGACGTAAATGTTGCAAGGGAGCATTTTAAAGGACTGTCATTTGACTGAGGTGTGAAATCATATAACATCTGATTTTAACTATTACACTGGATCAGGCGTCACACGAAGTAAAGTTTGCACATGTGAAGCGTTCAACAAGGTCTGTGCTGAAATGACTGCAAGAAACAAATGTTTTCACACGCTCGGTCTCACTAACCACTAGGATGTGTCTTTGTCGATTCACATTGTATTGATGTTAATGGCATCTGTAGAATTGTCAGACTGGCGGATCACAACATCGGAGGCCGAAACACGTGAAAATAAATAGTCATTACTACCTTTTTTATCCAGTAGTATAAAAAGGTTGCCTAAAGATGGCAAACCATATTCTTCAGCCAACACCAGTTAATTTATACCTCAGTTACAAAATCCACCCAACAGATTAGCGATCATCAATATATGGAGGTATTTTTCAACTTCATTGCGTAATAAAGTCGCGTTTATATTGAAGTCAAATGCTAATTTTAATCTTGATCCCGTTCTATACTCATTGTCGAACTCTAAAACTGCACTGGTTTCAGCGATGATACACCCCCGTCTCCTGCTTAAACTCTTTTGCGTGATCACCTGCTGAAAATTGTTGCCAAGTCACTCATAGGATGCATGTAAGAAAATAAGTACGCAACTGTGGCGTTTTACTTATTATCATAACTGTTGATGATATGTTCATCATTTCAGGGATCCAACCGAACGTTCATGTCTGCCCAGAGTAGTAATTGTGGTCATGGGAAGCGTAACTTAAAGTGTATATCTTTGTGCTTGTTGATAAAAACTCAGTGTTTCATAACCACCAATTTACAAGCATAGCAGACATTAACACGTCGCAATTTCCAGCATGCCTTTTTCCGGGCTGCTACAAAGTTGCTGCACTCAGCGAAATAACAGCCATCCAGAGTGTAATTGATATTTAAGTTTAAGGTATGAAAGCGACTTTTCTGTCGTAAAAGTATTGAAAAATATCTGTTAAGCATGCCACGTATTGAAAGACCATCCAGGCATCATAAATAACATGTGCATGTCCACTCCCCAGACAGGTAAACTGCGCCAAGAAACACATAATCACCTGTGTATCTACTTATGTTTAGCATGCTGAAGCTGAATATGCATGAAAAAAATCCGAATTAAGGGTATTTCATTCTTCTTTGTGAATCCACGTATTTTGCTCACTCAAACTGTCCCTCCCTAACCAGATAAATTTATAGCAAACGACATGTTCATATTTCTCTGTAGTTCTCACTTTGCAACGCAAAATGATAAGTAGAATTCGGTTAGCACTCAGGACTTGACAAAGTGAGATTGGTCGCTCTTCTGTGACCACTCAATATATACTCTATTTCTATCAATTACTTTCTGGGTGCTGCTAAAGGTATTGTATCTCACGTTTACGGTTGTTCCATTTATCCCAGCTTCATCTGATATCGGTATTGTGCTCGTTTGCAAATATTTCCCCCTTGATTATATAGGCAACCCACACGTTCTATGCTGTTTTTTAGGATTTGTCCTGGTGCGAACTTGACAGATGCAAAGACCAATCACTAATTATTCGGACTTGTTATATACCCACGAATTCGAGACCAAGGAAGAACACGATAGCGTAGTCGGATGGAATAGTATATTTGGATGGTTATGCCAAAATACCGATGCGTTCCAACTGACTGGCTAGAGAGTCGAATACGAGCAATGCAAGGTAACACGACAGCGTGCCAAATGGCGAGGATGCTTGACCGGGTGCCTTCAGCTTAGCGAGTCCAGTTAAACTATCAAGGTCAGCATCGATGTCGAAAGTCGTCAAACCCTAGGCTATTGATTTTGGGGAAGTGTATGACGCTACAGTTTCTTTTGTTGTCCATCTCTCAGACCTTGCGTAGTTCAGGTGCCACACTGAAACTTTTTGGCTGCTAAACTCTCTATTCCCTGTGTTGCACTAGGTTTGCTCCACTTAAATTTGTTTGTCATCCATTCATGTTATTAAACCTTACTAAATACCCACGTGGGCTGCATCATAACAATAACATTCATCCGTGCTTCAAAACTTGCTCTTAGTATCCGAACTGAATACTGGTCATTCTACCGTATGTTCTCGCTGTGTAAATCTAGTAAGATGTCGTCAACTCTCTCTAAGCTACAAGTTAGTTAACCAAGCAGCCAGTGTATTCGATTCAACGTCGTATTCAGACGACATATGTAGTATAGGAAATGGCTCATAAAGTGGGAACCCAACTTCAATGAAAATCCAGAATTTAAAAGGGCAACATTTCTTTGGAATGCTGTGCTCGAAGTATTTTTCAGAATGTTGGCGTTGCTTTGAAACTGAAAAAGTCGTCTGTTCCCCTCAGTCCTAGGAGGAATCTTTTTGAGTACGTAATTCAGTTAACAGCATCCTCGAAAAATTCCTAGTAGGGAAACCATATGTTATCGCAGTTTTGTGCTACTCTGCTGTGCTATAACATCACTAATGAAGCTTGATGTAGCCTCTCCCACACTTGTGCTCTTGAGTTAAGGCATAGTATACTTATTCGACCTTTAAGGAGCTGGCTTTGGTGACTTCTGTAGTATTAGTGTCGTTGAACTAAACCAATCCAAGTAGATAAGTTAGGTTACAAAACCGAATTAAAGATTCGATGCTCACTCATAATATGAAATCACAATTCGGAAAATATTAGGATGGGAAGACCTACTGTAAAGTTTAACTCATCTTCATCTTTTGTTGATATCCAAATTTTTTTCTAACTGGATGCGGTTGAAGATCTTATTCCTCACAGTTATGATTATTTAGTGGGCGGTTTGCTAATAAGTTACTGCCACTTTTATAAAAAATCTTTTCCTCAGCACACATAACAGTTTGTCGCGTTTAGACATAAGCAATCAGTTATTATTCATGCTTTTAACTCCAGAAGAGTGCTTCTTTTACTTAAATGCGAAATTGTGTGATTTTCGAAACGTCCAAAATGACCAGCAACTGGTGAATACTAGCCAAATAAGAACCGTGATTTTCAGCGAAAATTGCGAAGTTAGTTATCATTGCATAGACCTGAAGTTTAAATACATGCCACTTCCCAAAAAGACAGGTTGTCGGGCCTAACAGTATATCTGATGAGATTCATGCCGACTATTTGAACACTACTTCCACTTAACAAATTTACCTAAACTTCTACGTATATGTACTGTCTCACCAAGTGAGCAATAACCTTAATTTATGAATCCCACTCTACCAAAACAACCAAAGAATGTGATTCAATAGTGAATTTCTAACTTTGAAGTGCCTGCCACAGAGAGACGTGCAGTTCAAAATCTGTATATTTAAATCCGAGAAACGAGCGCAAAGCATCCCATTTCGTTAGCAGCTCTAGGTACCGTCATTAACGATGAAGAATGATGATGATAAGTGCATTAAGTTGCCCATCCAGGAGTCGATCTAAATTTCAAACAAAAAGATAGTCACAGTGTCGCAGAGTTAGCTTATGGAGTTATGTTGTAGTTGTCTAGAGAATACTTTGGTCTAACAGATTTCAGAAACTGCTTGCGAAAACTAAGACTGTTTATAACTATCGTACGAACTTAATCACCTCGGTACCAACACAAAAGTACATGTTTCTAAACAACTTTCCACCGAATTCATGTTTTCAACATCACACCCGGTGATAAAACATCCACGACAAGATATCAAAGCTCAGATAAAACCAGATAACATCATCCTCGACCTGAGTTACTACTCTTTCCCAATATTTTAATGCTCAATTGGAAATTTCTAATTAACGTCATCTCTGGAGCCGATAAAATGTCCCGCTATCTATTAAAGGACGATTATGATGCACTGTAGTCTACCCTGCCTTATAATACAACTGAGAAACATAACCACATAAAATAGAATATATGAGGCGGTTTCAGGACTTTGATCACAGATGCCTTCATAGCATCGCTCAACAATTGCTGGATTGAAAGAAGCAAAAGACAATTATGCAGGAGGGAATGTTTATTGTCAATAAGTGGGACAGTGGTCGTTAAGTGTGGTGCGCCGTGCAATAAAACCATCATCTGCAAACTATGCTTCATTTCCTCTTCTGCTTCCTTCTTGATTTGCTCTTCATACGCCTGCTCTGTCTCTTTCGTTTCTCTCGGCGGAATCCTTACCCATTGCCGGTAACTCTCTATGATTTCTGCCACCCTCTCAACATATACTACTTAGATCCATTCTTATCCGCAACGCCCACTACAGAATCACTGGGTGAGCAATAGTGAGGTTAGACTTAGAATACTAGGGAAAGTCAATAATTCAGTTGAGGTTGTGAATCTACAGCGAATGTGATGCCTCGGTCACATGCTATGCTTGTAAAGCCACCGTTTACCTTAATATGTGATATTAGCCAAGTTCTTCTCATATACATTTTCCTAAATTAATATTACTTTTTGTACCGACTTCTTCTTTGTATGCAGCTGTGAAGTGATGTGACTTCAGCCGATGGCCTTGTGTGCCAGGTTCCACATAGGTCCGTCTGCCTCGACAACGAGCCAATTTTCCCACCATTTTTTCCATTTTCCAGGAGTTGAATGACTGCCGAGGGTATGATCTAAAGGTTCTTGTTGATAAGACTGGGCAAACATTAGCGATTCACGTTCAATCAAGTGGTGACATGTAGAAGTTATGGCAATTACTTTTGCTGAGCAATTTGATACAATGATGAACAGACCGTAAGGATTATTTGAACAGAAAAAGTTGAGAATAGTTGAGGCAAATACTCAAAATCTGTGTGCCATCTAACCAGTATTAGTATTTGTGAAGCTTCAAGCTTCTCATACAGATTGTCATCAACTCTATCATTTCCACTTGAATGAGCTTGCCAGTATACCCTTTGAGTCATGGTTCAAACAGTATAAAGATTAATGTCATGTTGACCTCAAAAGCAGTTCTTTCGAAAGATCATGGCATATCTGAAGACAATCGTTACACGAACTTCATACTTTTAGAACAATAAAAGGAATATAATTCCAGTGGAGTAGTAAAAATGGTGTAATGGATATTTGCAGAACAGTTCTTATTGATAAATCAGATACTAGAGACAGGTTCGTTGAAAGGCTATGGGATAATTGGACAAGATATGGCAAAATAGTCAAGCAAGAATGTGAGGGTTTCAAGCTCTCAACCATAAAGGAAGAACGATTCATAAGTTAGATTCTTCTTCTCATTCTACAATCCTTAGAATATGCCAGTGTGAAAAGGAGGATCCTAAGTAGGATAGAACAGTATGTCCTAACATAACAATTCATAAAATGACGAGTGAGTGTCAAAGACTCATCATGATATAACTATATTCGAGATCGATACATGCACTAGGTTCCAGGTGAATGATGCATTAACAGCACTATATTAAAGTAATAATAGTACCCAACAGGTTATTTTCATAGGAATATGTACAGTCAGATCGCAGCACCGGATTAAATTCCAAAAATCCCACCAAGATATCATGTTGGTATTTATCATGGACTGATATCAGTTGGAACACTGGAAATCTGGTAGCACTAGTCAGCTGTTACGTCCTAATATGGGATTCCTCAGCAGTGCGCACCCATGACCCAGCCAGGGGTTTCGAAATCAATGAATGAATCCCCACAAACCCCCAAATTCAATTTATCTGGTACTCGCTGGTGACTAGCTTCGAGAGGTGATTCCTCATGTTCCAATGAGAAGTTATCACTGGTGAGGCAAACGTGGTGGCCGTGAGGATAAATACTCAACGATGACACCGGGTGATGGTCACGCTATGTCGTGAACTGACAGAAGTTGGAAATATGAACCATTGGATTCCCACCCAGTGGCTTGCTCAATGATAACGTGCCGGCCATGGAAGCTGAAGGTCCTGTGTTCGATCCCTGGCGGGTTGGGGTCATGGGTGAGCACTACTGAGGAATCCCATACTAGGTTCCTTCAACTGATGTCAGTCCACGATGAATACCAACTTGAAATCAATATCCCCACGAACCCCCAACGAACAAGATATGCTGAAAATACGTGCTAAAATAAACAAAAATTTATCGACACAAAAGCGGGTGATGATAGATGCAACACCAAAGATATGTACAGTTGATTGCAACATCGAATTGTATGAACATCAAATTTATCTGACGACGTTGAATAAAAATGTTTCGAGTCATCAGCTTATTACAAATCATAAGACTATTTAAAATTAGTTCTTTTTTGAAAAGAAAACAAATACTTAGATGACCCTTATAAGTACTGTTGTGTTCCATGACTGAAACGATTAGAAAGCTTTTTGGAGTGTTCAATAATCGCTTTCCTGGCTGCAGTATCCACTCGAAACAATTTAAGATCTTTTTCACGATCAAAAGGACGTCTGATTGACTCACTGGACGGTGATTTTTCATGTTCTTTCTTGTGTTTCTAGAAAAGCGTGGAAAGTAGCAACCAGGAGAAAAGAACAACTAACCTTAGATTTATGTTTATGCTTTTTGGATTTTTCTTTATGTTTCTTCGACTTGTGCTTCAGTTTTTCTTCATGAATCTCTAATAAGCTCGACTTTTACTTGAGCCCTATTAAAACAGGAAGATGTCGTACCAACTATCACGAAAGTCAACAGAACTAACCTGATACTGAGAAGCAATCTTCGCCATATTTTGATCGTATGCTTCGTTCACCTGATACTTTAGTTTATCATCTTGTTCTTTGTTCAGCTGAAAGAAAGATAAGTACAGTAAGAATTTAGATAGCTACAGAAGATCACGTATCTTTCAGTAGTTACTTTCAATCTGTTGAGTCACAAATCGAAACCGAAAAATATACCTGGAGTGTGTCGCCTAGTATAAACAGACATACATGGAAGAACCTCCAAGAATAATGCTAGCAAAGACGACCATTAATAAAGGCAAAATGATCCGCTAACGAGATGCAGGTTCATCTAGTAAGTCAAAAGCCACATCCACAGCGTATAACGCAGAAACAATGGACGCTTTAGTGTTCTTGGCAACGAGCCGCACATATTGTGTGAAGACTGATGGGACTTCTCGTCTGTTCACAACTTATTGGGTGATGTTGGGTTCGAAATTGTGAACTACCGATCAGGAGTCAATTGCCCAGACCAATGAGCCATTTATGTCACATATATAGAATTCTAACCAATAATACAAATACGTCGCCAAACTCCGCCAATCAGTATTTGAAAGTCAAATGCTCAAAAACAATTCCCAGATTCGTACGCAACTGTAATGTAACTGATGGAAATGCTACGTAATCGGTCAGTCGAGCCAAACAACAATCACAAAGGTAGAAGCGATTGTTTACTACGACGTTGTAGAAAAATAAGTTTCGTTATCTTTCACTACAACCGACTGCTTCCTTTCAAAGTACATGAACAGCAACCAGCCTTCCAAGCGTTAAACGTCATCAAAATTTCTCTCAGATGCCTGCCTACCTTACAAATCCAAACTTTTACTCTACTATCATATACCCCGGTAAGCATCCTTGCTTCCCCTCCTACTTCTTCCTAACATACCGATCTTCACGACAGTCTCACTTTACAGAACACCATTCCAGATCTGCTGAAACTACACCCACAATAACAACTGGAGCTCTCCACGTCCGATCTCTAAAACATGGTAACATCTGTGCTTAAAATCTTTGACTGTTGGTTTGAGTCACGTATGGAGATCAAGACAAGCCGGTTGGGGTCCGCGGGACAACAGAAACCGGTGGTTGGAGACTTTAGGTGATATGGCTCCGAACTGATATCACTGGTCTAGATGTATCCATACACTACCTTCTCCTTAGGCGTCATGCTGAATTCAGTATTTTATCATTCCTCCTTCCTTTCTTTTCACTGTTTTCTCCACTTTTCATTTCAGTGCACTTTCGCTTGATGTGCTGATATGAAGTGTGACAACTTGGACCATTGTGTAGTAATGCCAGGTTGTTTACTGGTTTCGTCTGTCTGTCAGTTTGTCGTTAAGAGTCCAGAAATACTAACTGTTGTTACGAGAAAACATTATGGTGTTAGTGTATTTCAATGTATCAGGATGAATTTGAATTAGATTACTCAGACTACCGATTCAAATGAATTTGACTAATTTTATTTAGCATATCGTTTAACCGGACGCCTTTCACGTCATCGTCTCCGAATCTTATGTCTTACTGACCTAGAGATCCAGCAAATTGAACTGACCATGTGAACCATAGGCTTCTACTATGAAAAACCTTAGGCGTCAGGCTTCTCCAAACTGACAACTAATTATTTCATCTACAGTATGATATGGTATTATTTCTCCATTCATCTAGCGAAATCTTCAAACAAGCCACAAAAAGTTGTTTCATAAAGTTGGAGACAGGAAACCTACTACTATATGTGGGTTAGTTTCATTTTCATTGGTTTCAGAGAGATCAAAACTAAGAACTATGTGCACAATGTCCAAATTTTCTCGATACCAGTAATATCTCAGCAGATTCCCTCAAATTAAAATTAATAACAATCCGCATTTCCTTCTCCATACGAACTATAGGAATAGGGTGGTGAGTGACACTCGACTAAACCATTTTTCACAATATTAAAGTTCAGCTGTCGGATATGGGTAAATAGAATAAATTGCATCATCATTAAATCTCTCTTCTACATCAACAACTTTTATTTCAAAAACGTTTTTTGATTCAACAGCAGCCTCAGCGATACCTGCTACCTCAATGTTGTGGTTGAGGTTGTATATCACAGTGGCGTAACGAGATATGCAGGCTGAAATGCTTACTGTTTGAGGTCCTGCCATGCTAGAAATGTCTGTTAGATAGCTATTAAGCTGAAAGCCGTTACTATTATCACGTAAATTCTTAAGTTGTGACGGATTTCCGAGGGTGAAGTCGCCTAACTGCATGGACGAGGTGTAACACTATGAACGTGTTTCCGACAATGGACCGTCAGTATCATGTTGATGTGTACTTTTTCATCGGTATTTTCGATGTTGGTGGTATGGGGTGCAGCATTAGAACGATCCAATCTCAACCCAACAATCCAGAAACACTATGTGTGACAAGCCTCAAGTAGATATCCCATAGGCCATGTGGTCAAGCAACTCTTTCCCCTTTTTCTCTTCAAGTAATCACGGTGTGAACACAAGGGAGGTACTAGCCGCCTGTGTGCATCCAGCAGTATACGAAACCCTATCAAATATAACCTACCCTCCTTACCTTTGCTACCCCTTCGCCTTGACTTAATGGTCCAAATATTGAGGTCGTCACCATTTCCTCAGCCTCTCACCCTGCCATCGATGTGGACGATCCCAGCCAGCGGAACACTATTCCTAGTCTCCCTAAACCAAGCTGCCAAATTCACATTGGGGCTTTCAACACCTCAACCGTGTGCCAAATCAGACAGTAGGTCTCAACTACCGAAATTATGCATCCTCTAACCGTGGATGTATGCTGTTTCTGAAACACGCATGCAGTAACCCTGTCAATCTTGCTACGCCAAGCAAAACGTTGAGATATAGTCACAATAGCCAGTGACTCCAACTTTCAAGTCGCACTTATTCGCTTGCCAACTTATATTATCTCGGGCATCACAAAGAGACAGTCTACACCTCCTTACTCGCTTCATATCAACAATCAAAGACTTCATGGTCTGGCCACCATTTACGTCCTTACAACCCAATCCTGCTTAGACTAATTTTATGCGTCAGGGTGGCGGTGGCTCAGCACGCGTAACAAATTTTCAGAGAGACAGAATCAACGTAGAATCTCGCACACAAGTGCATCGGCTCACGTTGCCACACTTCACAGCAGTATACAAAGACAGGTGGATAAAATAAGAATGATATCAAAGTCAGGGACTTCACCAACTAGTGCCATGCCTCAGTCTGGTCACCCTGAGCCTTCTTCCAGCTTAATCCAACTTGCCATAGCATGGGATGTAGTGAAGTGTTAACTAGTGTACGGGAGTCAAATATGATCCCCTCTAACTGGTTTTAGTCGCTCATAATCCCAGTCTTCAAGAAAGGCGAGAAGTCCTCTTGTGATTACCACTGGGGGATAAGCCGAACGAGCATAGTGTCGACGATTCCAGATCCCATAATACTTAGACGCCTGAATGGGACTCGGGAACAGCAAGCCAGAGAAAACCAGGCAGGCTTCACACCTGGCCCTGGGTGTATTGACCAAATATTCACACTCCACAAGGTTCCGGAACACAAGCACGCTTACCAATGCCTGACAATAGCTGTATTTCTCGACCTGGAGGCGGCATTCGACGCCATGGATCGAGAAGTTTTATGACAATGTCTATCACTCAAAGGGAAACTAAGTAAGTACACCACCTTTGCTCGAACACTTGTAGGCGTGTTATAGCCTGTGATTTAACGTCGGGTGAGCTGTGTACGTCAAGTAGTGTCTGTCAAGGATGCCCATTCTTATTCAATTTTACCACAGGCGTTCTTATGGAGGTCTCCCTCACGACGTCTGACTGTACAGGAATTGACCTAATCACAAGAGGACTTTTATTGAACCTAGAATACGCAGATGACATAGTTCTGTTAAGTGAAGACGTTGACAAGATGCAGTGTCTTCTGCACACCTGGAGTTGCAATTTGAGAATGTTTGGGATGCGTTTCTCGCCACCCAAATACAAATTGTTGCTCCGGGACCGGTCCTCGGCTAACAGTAGAGAGTGACGCAGTTCAGTGCGTTGAACACTTCACTTACCTGAGAGGTTGGATCAGACCTATTGGCTCAGTGGCCGATGAAATCTCTGCCCGGATACAAAAGTCTCGGTTGGCTTCTGCCAACTTACGTCATCTGTGGTGCCACCATGATATCCGATCACCTATTAAGGGTCGAGTGTGTAATATGCTGCAGTCCGCTCTGTTCTACTCTACCACTGTGAGACATGGTCATTGAAGGTAGAAGACCTGAGAAGGTTACAAGTGTTTGACCACCGTTGCCTTCGTAGCATAGGCCGTGTTTCATGGTCACATCACACGAGTAACGCAGAAGTCAGGGTATAATTTCAGGAAGTAGAGGTAAGTCAGTTGATGCGGTTGTGAACCTTCATCGACTGAGATGGCTGGGATGTGTGTTACGCACGCCTAACCACCGTCTGCGTCGTCACACAATGTTGACCGAAGTAGATTCAGACTGGACAACGGCTCGGGATGGCTAGACTAAAACATGACAATAATGCATGAAGTCGTTGACTGTTGGGTTTGAGCGATGTGGAGCGATGCAGACTAGATGGTTGGGGTCCACGAGACAAGAGAAACTGGTGGTTGGAGACTTGGTGATATGGCTGTGGATCGACGTCAGTGGCGCAGATGTATACAGACATTATCCTCATCTTAACTGCTATACTTAATCTCATCATCTCATCTCATCTCATCCTTAATAGGTGATCGGATATCATGGTGGCACCACAGATGACGTAAGTTGGCAGAAGCCAACCGAGACTTTTGTATCCGGGCAGAGATTTCATCGGCCACTGAGCCAATAGGTCTGATCCAACCTCTCAGGTAAGTGAAGTGTTCAACGCACTGAACTGCGTCACTCTCTACTGTCAGCCGAGGACCGGTCCTGGAGCAACAATTTGTATTTGGGTGGCGAGAAACGCATCCCAAACATTCTCAAATTGCAACTCCAGGTGTGCAGAAGACACTGCATCTTGTCAACGTTTCACTTAACAGAACTATGTCATCTGCGTATTCTA